ATGGTGACCTTGCAGTGACGGAGAGCTCTCTGGATCTTTCTAGATCTTTGAGCTCCCAAACACTTGTCTATCATTTTCCTGTTCTCTGCCCGATTCGCTCTCGGTTCAACCCAAAACAATGCCTAATCGGAGAGATTAAGAACTCTGGGATTCGGATTTGAAAGATTTTGAGAGGGGTTCAGACGTTTTTTCAAGGACGAAAAACGCGTTTTTCTGTGATCCAAAGCATTTTACAGAGCTTAAGTTTAAGCTAAGGGCGTGATTTGTTTTCCGACACGAAATTTGAAGACAGCTGTTGGAAGGAAGATGCCGGGACCCGCCGCGAGGACTTGAAAAACTGTGGGATGAGATGTGTCGGGGAGGGTTCCTTGTCTTCTTATTTTTTTCACATCCCCCGAGATTTCCAAAATGCAGTTTGCAAATTTCCTAATCCAAAGGCGGTTATACATACTTATAAATAAACATTGTTTTTATTTTTCAGAGGCAAAAAAACAAAAACAGCTGTATCTCATCCTTTCACTGTGAATAGCATATGCTTACTTGCTTCTCCTTTTTTTTTTTGTCAGCTGAAATTTGATTTTTTTTTTTATAATTAAGAAAGGAACGATTTGAATCTCGATCAATACGTAAGAGGATTAGAACCCTTCTCATGTACTCTTTAAATATGAGAATTATACGTCAATTAATAAATTAAATATTCAAATGTTAGTTGAAATATAATTTATTTTACTTCTTTTTACATAATTAAAATTAATGTTTCGGTATTTAATAAAACTAAAATCTTTTCATGAAACTAAAGAATTTCACCCATTCGTCTTATGGAGCTCCTCCTCTTGTGCAAAACTGTAATATTGAAGACAAAATTAATAATTGGACCGAAACTTTAAACATTCTTTATTTAATTATGGGAGAATATACTAAATTAATAACTAATGATCTAATTTGAGCATAATGTGTGTTTTACACGTGAAACCCCCTTTGTATGCACACTGTATATTTCATAATTAAAAAATTGCAAGCCATGATTGTACACCAATAATCAATCGTTAAAGTTTCTATAATCAAATGCTAAAAATGATGCTTCTTAGATTGTTCACCCAATTAAAGAGTCAAATTTATTCCGTGCTGTTTCCTTCTGTCTGTCCAAAATTTGAGCCTCGGCCTTAAGACTTTCTATCTGAGCC